AAATCATGCACAATATGAAGAAATGGTGAATTAGAGGAACCTCCCCAAGAGCATAACAACTCCTTGAAACTGAATTAAAACAACAGTGCTCCAAGATATTTAGGAATTAACTCTATGGGGGAAATGATGCCAGACAACTTAGAGAGCTGGAAACCAGAAGTAGCAGTTTCTAGAAAAAAATGAGAATTAATAACATGAACAGATTGCATCAGTTCTGGGCACATAGTGGTTCAGTGGAGGAAGAGAAGTCCTCTCCAAGGAGCCAAAAGAAATTCTTTCACTGAGTTTAAGACAAACAGGTAGTGGCGTTCAACAAAATCATAATCTGAGCAAAAAATTACAGCAGATATGATGAGCTGAGCTGGTTTGGAGAAAAGTTCCAACACTTTTCAGTGAAAATGAGGAAGTGGCGACAGCTTAAAGTTTCCATTTGGATTTCCTCAATAGGAGACTAGAAATCTCTGCAGTTTATTCAAATAAGTTTACTTATTTTGACCTCTGTTATTTGTCTTGTTCTCTCACTAAGTGAATTCAACACTTCTCTCTCACCAATAGGTCATCCAGACATAAAAATAGCAAAGATGCTTACTGCCTAAGACGGGTATTACAAATCAATGAACTTAACTGATGTTTATAGAATATTTCATCCCAAAACAGATCGTACACTTCTTAGGTACTTATGAAACTTTCTCCAAAATAGACCATATGTTGGGTCACAAAACAAGTCTTACAAAATGTAAACAGATAAATAAAAATCTAAAAATGAGAAGATATAATCTCTTGAAGCTTATCAGATCATAGTGGTCTGAAAGTAGAAGTGAAGAGGAAAAAAAATCTTACAGGAACTACATAAACACCTAGAGATTGAGCAATACACTTTTGAATGATGAATGAATCATAAGAACATCAGGAAAAAATATTTTTAAAAACTTCTTAGGCTCAGAAGCACATTACAGGAATAGCAGTGTTCTGAAGAAGAATCCAGGAATTCAGGAGGAAAACAGCCAGTTGGACCAAAGAAATAAGGAGGAAAACAGAAGCAATGGTTAGGGAAGCCCTTGAACTTCCAAATTACAGGTCTATAGAGTCACAAAACAAAAGACTTCAAACAATGAAACTGTGAATTCTAACTTACAAACTCATAATGGATCTCCAGGTCTCTCTTACACACTGCAAGAAAGATAATGATCTCAAGACAGTGAAACAAGGAAGGCAAGGCAGTTGAGTTTATAATGAAATACCCCTTTGAGTACAAGTAGACTAATCCTACTGGGGAATTCTGAGAACCAGTGTATAAAATTCATATTTAAGATTTCTTCTAGGGCTGGGGATATAGCTCAGTTGTTAGGGTGCTTGTGTTTAATCCCCAGCACACACAAAAAGAATTCTTCTATTCTGGCTTCCCAATGGAGGGAGACTGCAAAAACTAAATGAGATAGGTAAATGTGAATGAAGTCAATTTGGAAGCAGACTGAAACCTCATCCTATGCAAGCAAGGAGTCTCGAGACTTGAGTTAGTTGGATACCCAAACTGAGATCTCTTAACACTGAGATGTGCTAATTGCAATATCTTATCACAACATAATAATTCAATTAACTTGTATCACCAGTATGGACTTTTTGTTAATACACATTTTATTTCAAAGATGTCAATACCCCCAAAGACCAGCATGTATTCTCTGTAGCAAGATTTGTCATGTAATTGTATTTGTTCATGGATCTTCAACCTCTAGTAACCATACTATTTGAAAAAGAAATATTTTCAGCATGAGGAGAAAAGAAGGAAAAATTGTTCCATCTAGAAAAATTTAACTGATTTACATCCTTCCTTCTTCCTCAGAAATTTTCCATTTAATGAACTTATTTCAGCAAGTCTTTGCTTCCCTCTTCACATACAATTGCTTACAACACTAGCCCAACTTTCTTTTTTCATAAGTTATTGTTATCAAGGCAATTACCTGGAGAGTTTGGAATTATTTCAACAGACTCTAGAGAAAATTAGCAGCAAAGTTCTGTACTTGTATGGGTAGATAATTTCCCATGATTCCAGCAACCTGGATATCAAAAATCTATTTTGAAACACAGATGGTAAACAAGCAAAACCTGCTCTTGTTCCTTGCTATTGACAAACACATATGCATACACATTACACCCAGAATTGAATCATCAATAGAAGTTGCCAGGATGAATAAGGAGCAAGAAGATAAAGTTTCCATGCGGATTGCTATTTGAATGTTCTTTCACTAAATAAATCAATAAATTATTAGAATCAAATGTGAATAGATATATAACATAATGGAGTCTCTGGGACATTTCAAAGGTTGTTTGAAGAGAAAAGTTTATAACTGTGAGTGCCTATATAAAACAAAAACAACAACAACATAAACAAACCAAAAATTCAGAAAGATCCCAAATAAAAAATCTCACGATGCATCTCAAGCTCCTAGAAATATAAAAACAAACTAATTATAAAACTAATAAAGTAAGGAAATAATTAAGGTCTGAGATAAAATTAATGAAATAGAAAATTTAAAAAGCACAATAAAATTTAATAAATATTTGGTTCTTTTTAAAGATAAACAATATTGATAGACCCTTAGCCAAACTAACTAAAAAAGGAGAGATGAGATAAAATGAGAGATGAGAGAAGACATACAATTATAGATGAAAAAGTACATATCACCACAAACATCAGTGGAATCCAGAGTCTCTTTAGTTACTATTTTTGAAAACTTCTGGGAAATATTTAATATTGTGATATCTTCCTGTTTAATTGCTCTGTTTACATTGTGAAGGGAACTTCTTTGTCTCTTCTGATTAATTTTGGCTTGAAGTCTGCTTTGCTGAATATGAGAGCAGCTACTCCTGCTTGTTTTCAGGCTCCATTTCCATGGAATATAATTTTCTGTCCTTTTAAACTCAGCCTGTGGAAGGCTTTGCCTCAGAAGTGTGTCTTTTGTACACAGCATATAGTTGGGGTTTTCTTTCCTTTTTCTTTCAGTGACAAGCACACTGTTAATAGCTTCAAACTCTAACCTCTTAATTTTTTTTAGTATTTTAAGCATTATTCCCTTGATCTTAATTTAAATCTATATTACCGTTTCTATTTCCTTATTTATTTCTATTTTGCTCATTATAGATCATTGATAACTTTTTAAAAAATTATATATTTTTGTGTTGATTAACTAGTTTTTCTATTTGTGGGAACTTAGAATTTGGTGTTCCAATTAAGGTTCATGCATCTATTCCGAATTAGTAGTGCATAATAAGTGATTTAATGTTTACATTGCTTTAAATTAAGTATATATCTTTTAAGTGGTGTTGGTCTGCTGTATAAGAAAATAGAAACTAAATCTTACCAAAGATTGTGAAGATATCCTCAATTCTGGTGAATCATAAACTCCTGTTGATATTTCCTTTCCCAATATTGTAATAAGCTTGGTGTGCCTTATTTGGTTTAATATATTTTAGCATGTCTCTGCAGTTTTGGGATTCTGTTTTTTTTTT